TTTCCATAGGTTCCTAGGTCCACACTGAATGTGTAAAGAATGTGTAAAGGGAAAACATATGCTATCTTGGCTATGCATGTAATAAAAAGGGTTTGTTGCATATTTGCAACAATAGGCATCAAGGGGTTAAAGACATTATTCTTTGCTTGCAACAATTGCAGAGTAAAATTGATGAAATAGAGATTGAGCCACACATTTATCTGTATTTTTGTGAAAATGCTGCACCACAGCTTGTTGAAAAGCAGCTGTGTTAAAACCTAAGGAAAAAAAAAGAAGGAGCTGATTAACTTGAACATGAAGCTGCCTTCAGCACTAAAGACCTCCTTAAGCAGTCTGGATGGGCGACTGTCAGCTGGGTAATAAGGTGTTCGTAAATCGTGGAAACATGGGAAAAGGACACAAGTTCAAACTGACCAAAAATTACAGACGTTTACGGCAGATTAGAGGTAGAATAAAACAGTAAGGACCTGGAAGAGCATAGTTTGTCAAAAAAAAAATAAATTTAAATGAACAAAGAAGAAACCAGAAAAAGTGATTTGCAAGAATTCAGAAAGATAAAAGAGAGTTAAAATGAACCAGTGGCTAATAACTGATGACAGATCAGAATAAAACGAGCAGAGACCTGACAGTACGTTAAGCAATTCCCCAAAAACTCCAATGAACTGTGAAGTCTGTCTTTCTTCCATTTGCTCTCTGTGCTCTAACAGGAACATCTGAGTGCCTGGCGGTGCTCATTGAGCCAGTCTTTAACTGATTTATAGAGTTTAGCCTTTAAAAGAGCAATAACAACCAAAGTAATTGTGTCTTTAAGTCTTGGTTACAACTTACTGTGTGCAACTTGGTGCTTATGTTATCATTATATCACTCCATGGGGCTTGGTGACTCAATTAAAGTTAATGTTTTATCAAATCTAATTCAAGTATCTAAGGTCTACTGCCCTTTTTACTCTCTACTGATTAAATTAGGCAAAATAAATAATGTCGGAGAAAAAGATACTTTTGTTCTTCACTTTAAATCTATAGGCAATTATCTGTCAGCGGATAGAAGGATCTTATAATGTTCCCCAAAATCCTCACAAAAGGGCTTTTATTTTAATTTTGTTCTCTAAAATAGGATAGATAGTTAATTGGAGATGATGGAAAACTTGGACCAAACCTTGTTTTATCAGGTAAATCGTTGGGTTCTGCCGCTGTCCTGTACGCCCGGGTCACTGTGGGACCGACAGGCTGTCCGTTTGGGCTTAGGCTTTGGATTTACAGAGGTTCTTCACTTTGGATCTCATAGAGAGATGCATGGATATGAAGGTCAATGTCATGATTTTCTTAAGAGATCTGACCCACATGAGGAAAACCACTCAGACAACGAGGGTAACAGTTTGAACAGGTTTAATGATGAAACCAGTGGGGCTGGATTCAGGAAACACAGTGAACTGGTGAACCGGAACTGGAAGAGGGAAGGGAAGTATCAGTGGTTAGTTCAGGATCCTTGGGAACTTTGAACAATGCCTTGGAGAGACAGAGAAAACGGGACTCACGATTGTGGAGAAAACTTTCCTCCCAGAATCCAGTCAGTGTGGGTTTTTCTAGTGGTTGAGACCCGTTGGAGGGCGGACAGGTATAGACTCA